ACGTGGTTGCAGAGAGGAAACTTTTTCCATTAAAAAAAACAACATAAATTAATATTATTTTTTTTTCTTTCAGATAAACAAAAATTGGAATTGAAATTAATGAATCACTTTGTATAATACTTCTATATATAACCTATAAGACGAATAGAAATACGTATAAAAATAATTATTTTAGTTTGACCGTCATTTTTTCTTTTATTTTTATTCATATAAATGGATTTAAAAAGCATTTTAGTTTGTGCTATGGTACTTTTATTTAACTAAGTCCAAAATAAAAATAAACAAAAGCCAGATAAATCTCATTGACTACATTAGTAGGTACTTGTTTTTTTTTTTTTTTTGCTCGAACATACCATGGTGTAGACACTAACTAGTGATATCGTATAGTTTCATCTTTTGGATAATATATTTATTTTTAAACAATTATAATAATAATGTAGTCATAATTGTATTAAAAATAAATTTTAATTTTATATGATTTATTCATCATTCTTCAAAAAAAGTTATAAGTTTATTGAATTAATAACAGTTGCTCATTAAAATCCTTCATTTTCAATGATAGAACTTATTTATAATGTGTACTTATAGGAAGATAACACAATATTTCTTCTTTTTCAATTATTGAAATGAAACATGTAATAACTAATAATATGTATGCTCATGTTAGAGACTTACGAGAGAAAAATTATGAATTAAAGACGATCTAAAACTGTTTATTTTTTATTTATTATATTGACTAAAACGTGTTAAAATGTAAAATAACAAAAATATTTTAGTAAATATTATTTTATTAATTAAATTTACTGTCAAATATTATATTTATTTGTTTACATTTAGGTATTTATGAACAATTTTCTGTTTAAAATATGAAAAATAAATCATGCAATAAACATATCTATTTGAATTATATTTCTTACAGAATAAATAAAAATCAAGTACTTATAGATTTCTGCAACGAGAATAGTACAATTAATTAATTAATTTGTTATACATTCTAACACATTTATTTTAAAATATACTTCAATAAGTAGATAATACTCGAGTAATGTATAGGTACAAATCTTTTAAAGTTATAGGTAGGTACATTTAACAGAGCGTTTTAAAATTCTTCTTTTAATTCGATGCACCCAATGAGTTAGACATAAGTTGGTTTAGTGAATTATATAATTTTGAATTTATACTATTTTTCAAATTATTAAACTAAATATATTTTTATTAATAAAAAAAAGCTGTTTTTTCATATATTATTTTCTTATATCTATTTTCAATAATTATTTAAAACAATGCGTTATAAAAAGGACGTTTTTTAAATTATAGCTATACATACTTTAAAAATAATGAAGCTTAAGAACTATCGCTATATATGATCTTTGTATTTTTATAAAACAAAATGTGCATTAGTGAGGAAATATCCGTCTGTTGATGTATTTTAATTTCAATATCTCAATATAAAAGAAAAATCATATTATCTGAGTGCTTTAGTGCGTGAAAAATGTAAACTGAAAAAATGAAAAAATAAAAATCTCTTAGGAATAAATTAAGACTATATTTCCACGTTCTGTTTTTTAACCAGACACCTTCATTACAATAGTGAGAAAAATATTTTTCGCTTTTCTCATCATCAGGGTGGTGACAGGGTGGCGTGGTTTCAAAAATGCACCGGCTGTATAATTTACATAAATTGGACGGATGTCCCTCAACGGGAGTTAGAAGTCGGCAGAGATTAATGACGTCATTTTGCAAATATCGCGAGGGTAAAAAATAAAATATTTATTAATATTGATGATCGGTGTAGGCTAACGAAATTTTGAATAATTTAAGTTACCCGAACAGATAATAACAGTATTATCATATTGTCTGTTGCAAGAGGTATTAAAAATAGCACTTTATACAATTTGAAGCAATATGGAAAGTTTATTGTTCCGGTATTTCAGTTGAAAATTACCATAAATCTCTATGAACTTGGACTTGATGATAGAACTTTAAACAAATATTTCTAAGCGTGTATACACATATGATTTATGTATATTAAATATATGTACCATCTTATTGTCAACAAAGTGAGAACAGAAAAAAATACTCACAAAAGTTGTGTTTTTATTTAATTATTAGTTATTGACGATCCAAGTCATCACAATAAATCATAAATTATAAGTAAAATAACACACCTAACATTATAAATTAACTTGCTGAATATTATTATATAAATGGCAATAGATATAATATTATATTTTTAGATTTTAATTATTTTTAAGTCACGAATGATATAGTTTATTATATTTGATTACTTATTTTTGTAGAGATTTAACGATGATGTTCACTTTTTTCAATTATAATATGTAATAATATTGTATTAATATTACGTATAACGTATTATTATTTTGTTTTTGTCCTAGCTTGTACTTTAAGTGAATTTGGATCTTAATCATCCTGATTTTTAAAGAGTTGTGGTAGATATGAAGAAGGACAGATTTTTCATTATTTTGACTCCTACATTTTAAAATAACATTATTTACTTATGCATTTGATTTAATTAATTTTTTATCTTTATTGTAATTTAGTACATTATTTTTTTGGTGATTGAAAGCGAAGTTTTTCAAATTCTTAATAAAGCAAAATCTACAAGTCTTTAGATGATGTATTTTTTTTTTTTACATATTATTATTTACTATTCAATATTTTTTTAGAACTAATGAACTCCAAATGTTTTATGCAGCTTCGCTGCCAGGTTAAAAATGTTGATTAATTATGTTATAATTTATTATTAAAATAGATCTTTAGTATTAAAATTTTTTAAGTATTAATTAATATTATATTTATACTCTTTTATAGGAAATTTTGTATTGAATTAGTTAGATAATTTAATTTAAGTTTTATCTAATTAACCAAATGTCGTTAAAGCTTTTTTTGTATAAATTTTAACCATATTTATATGGTTATTGAATAGAAATTAATACTAAATAATTACCTAATATAATGTTATGAAAGGAAATATAAAAATATTCAATTCAAGTGTAAAAATATGAATATTATAAAAGCCTACAATTCTGAGTAGAACCTAGCTAACTTAAGTTGATATTTAATAAAATATTTTTAATATTTAAAGTTGGTCAAAAAATTTAAACTAAATATCATGAGTTTACAATTATAAGTAATGACTAATAATGAGTTAGATATATGATTAATAAAAATATGAAATATGAGTATGTACTACCTATAAATACTTTATATTATTATTTATTAATTATTAATTTTCCAATCAAATTTATTTTAAATAAAAATAGTTTTAAAAATAATATTATTGTAAAATAATAAAAATCGGTTTTTCAACACGTCTTAACAACTTTTGAAACTTTGAACTATGGTTAAACAAGTATTCAATTGTAGGTCTTATAAAATGTATATGAATTAACTGTAGTTGTATTTAAATTATCGTTTATGATTTTAAAATTGTCAATATTTGTGAAATTATTCAATTTTTAATAAGATATAAATATTAGGTCTCAAGATGTATAATACATATATTCCTATAAGGGACTAAAACTCTGATCAGACTATTGTCTTTTTCCGTTGTCATTCTAGTGCACGTAATGTTAAATACCGGTTGTTTATTCAAACCTATACAATTATACCTTTTTTTTGTTAGTAACTATTGAAATTTAAAATAATTGTTGAATTTTATTTAAAATAATCTATAAATTATTATAATTTATAATCATTAAAACAGCATATTTTAATTTGTTTGTTTATTTAAAGCCCTTTAAGTATCAACGTTTAAAAGCAATATAATTAATCAAAATTGTAAAATAATTTTAATCCGAATTCCGTTAATAATATTGTAAACGTTTTTTAAAAGTTATAAAAATATAAACACATACACAATTAAAAGTTTTAAAAATCTCAACCCAATCTATGACATATCTATTTTATTAAAACGTAAATAATAGGTAGGTACCTAAAATTTTAAAAATAATTTCACAATAGTAAACATTTAAAATATTTAAGGTAAAAAAAAGTATTTATGAAATTATTAAAGTATTAAAATATTTGATACATATAAGTTGCTCAAAAGTTGAAACGTAGATTTGTGAACTATTGGTACTCAAATTTAAAATTAAAAATAAACTATAGAAAATATTTTTATTAAAAGAAAATATATGAAATAAAATTCACTATAGCCCGTGAATAAAATTAATTTTGTCATTAACATTTTCTAAAATATAAAATTTAGAGAAAGGACTTTTGAACTGTTCAAAATTAGGACAACATAATGAGTACATATTACCGAGCTTGTATCGCCGTAAACTAAAAATTTCAAATTCAACTGAATGATTTATAAATTATAATAAATGTTCAAAATGCTATGATTAACTAAAAAAAAAATCACTATTTTTACAAAATGATTTCACATAGAAAAAGGTCAAAAATGACCAAAAAAAAGCGATGACGTTAAAATTATATTTGATTTATATACATACGTTATTGCACCAACAAAATTTTTTTAAAAAACGCTGTGATGAAAACCAAATCGTTATGCTCACCTCCCTCTATAGCAAAAATTAGAACTCGCGGACGCAGGACAGTTCGTGTCCCCATAAGCAATGGCGTAGACAATGGGGGGAGGTTTGGGTGTTTAACCCCCCCCCCCCCCATTTTTTTCCACATCTAATAAATGTATTATTTATATCATTATATATTTCATTAATTCTATTTTAATATTGAGGTGTTTATAATATATTATTATAATATTGTATATTCACAAGTTCACAACTGAACTTTATTCTTGAATAGTTCAATTGGGCAACAAACATAACGAAATCTGTAAAAAATTAAGTTTAATTTTCACTTAAACCCTTCTCCCTTGCAAAATTCTAGCTACGCCACTGCCCATAAGACATCTATTTCGTTCATTATGATCATAATATAATATATGCGTATTACAATTAATAAAACGTTGTAAAAATTATAAAAGGTGCAAGATATTTTTTAACACTATTTACCTGGTTGATTTATGTCGTTGATTTATGTGGCAGTCCAGGACGACGAATACGTATAATACGACGATGTATTATTTTCGATTGCAAAAACATAAACATAAGTTCTTAAATGCAATTTTGTTTTATACGCATTATGTACTGTTATACGTAGTAATTTTAAGCTGAAAACGATCGAGGTCCGTCTGTTTGTGTGGCGCGTGTATGAATAATGCGCTTCAAATTGAACAGAGTCCACGCCTCCAGGACCTCCTCTTCCACCCCCGGTACAGCGCCGCCGCTGACGCCGGTAACCTTCACCACCGGCCGTTCCGTCGCGCTCGTCTCGCGGTGTCACCCGCCGTCGCCACCGGAAAAACAATAATTTTTACGCGCCGACGTTTAACAGCTATAAAACTTGTGTAAATCCCTTTGGATGAATAACAAAAAAATAAAAAAATAAAGAGAGATGATTTTTCTTTCTCACCGTCGCATTGTATTATTTTATTATTACTGTAGATATAGTTATATTATTGTCGTCACATCGAAGCTTCCACCCACGTATAATATATACAAACATATACATTTTATTATATACCTACACGTGTACATATATGCATATGTAGATCAATGCCATAATAATACAGTGATGAAAAAAATAAATAATATGCACGGCTTATGTTTATAACGGTAATAATAATATGTGTGTGTGTGTGTGTATACACTTTTGTGCCAACTCTAAAATACGTACACCTCGGTGGTTACACAATATAATATTATGAAGTCATCGAATCGTCTTCACCTACTTCTCTCATGCTGCAGCTTTACCGCATGCAGTACGGTCTATAATAGTGATCCTCGTTTTCACCAAGCGCTCCTGAAATTTATACTATACACAGTACACACACACACACACACACACACAAATATATAAATTTTGATATTTTTGCAACTTGCAGTGCGCGTTCATTTGTATACATCAATGAATAAACAATAAGATATTTACATGTATACATAGTATGATTTATTATAATATACTGCAGCCAGTAGCGTAACTGTGAAAAAATCAAGGGAGAGGGCAAATGTTATGGCTTGGAATCAAATCTTAGGAACCGATATAGTTAAACAATATCAAGTACATAAGGGCTTATTAAAAAAAGTGCTATAACTTGTTTGAAAAAATATAATATTATGATAATCTTGTAACACTGTAACAATTAATTCTTTATTTATTTTAGAAGATTTAAAGATTTTTTTTCTATTAGCGCATTTGAGGAAAAATGATACCTTGTCCTCCAACAAAAATTTCTCCCCCACTTTAATTACACCATAGACTGTAGAACCCTTAAAGTCTTAACCAATAACTATTACAAATGTTATACGTCGACACCTATAAGAGTACTTATGATGTATCTACCTGTTACTATACTTATATATCAGTACAATTTATAATAAAAAAGTAGGTATGTAATTTAATATTATCATACTATATATTATTCATTAAATATGTAGTTAAAAATATGTTACCTATTACTAATAATTATTTAGAAAAACTTCTTTTCACGTCCAGTGAAATTACTGGAGCTAATTTAAATTGAGTCAAATCTTTAGCATTGAAGTCATCAGAAAAACTCTCACTTGAAAAGTTAAAACTTCTTCATCATTTATAGTATTTAAAACTGTTAACAGTTATCGTCTGAAATCCAGTATTTTTCTCAAGTACAGCCTTCAATTTGTTTTTAATTTCATTTTCAATTCTACGAGTATTAACTGCTGCTGATTCAATATTGAGAGCGCAATAACAAAAAAGGTACGTATTACTCGACAAATTTAATGATATAATTTAATAGTGAATTATTAATAAATTCTTTATTTTTCTGTAAACTAGTGAAAAACGAGTAAAACTAACAAACTTGTGGAAAAATGACTTATTCAAATATTATAAAACACATTTTCAGCTAAAAAAGCGTTATTTAAGAAATTCAAAAAAAAAAAACATATCAACTTTCGAGCCTTAGTTATACATATTGAAAAATGCACCTTTAGGGAAGTTAAATTTAAAAAAAAAGAAAAAAATATAGGTTATGTATGTTAATCAATTATAGCTTTCAATTGTCTTAAATAAGTGTCTTAATTTATTTATGATGTATGAAAGGATAGGTATAATATAATAATACTTATAAGTTATAAATATCAATAATAATTACGGTGCCTTAGATATTAGATTACTTGTAGAATATAGGCAAAATAATGTTAAGATCTATTTTAATTTAAACTTCATTTTAAATTATACTTAAATATTGACAAAAAATAATATATGTAGTTTTGGGCATCTTTTTATACATACATTTCATAAAATAAAGCGTTATACATTATAAACTTGAGATTTATACAATATACGTTTTTTTACAATTATACTTGACGATTATAGCGAATGTAAAAATAATTTTTATTTATTGCTTACGATGGATATGGTGTAACGAAAACGTTTGGTAAAATACTTTTTCAAAATCATTAAATGCAGAATTAATTTCAACACACAGTGTTGAATAAAATACGAATAGGGATTAAAAAACCAACCCTCGTTACAAGCTCGCCTGATATACGCAAAGCCGTTAAATCTCCACCAACCCTTCCCTTACTTGTGAGGACCGGAAAAGAATACCACAAGTGTCATAGTGAACCATTTTTTTTTTAATTTTTATATATTATGTTTAAAAAAACCCCAACAGTTGAAAACAAATGACGATTGAGACTTTTCGAGTATGCTTTGGAAAAAGGTCTGGGAAAACAGCAGTTATAATGATTCACAACCCTCTTGACAAAATAATCAAGACTCGAAAGCAATGGGTTTTTAAAACGTTAGGGGTAGAATTGGTTTTACAGTATAGGGAAACTTTTGATTACTAAAGGCGTTGAACCGTGGACCGTATAGTGTAAGTAATATAAAGGTATATGGCGGTATGTACTGACAGCTGCAATCCGCCGTGATTATACCCGTGGCTTATAGATATATAGGTATACACACAAACATAATAAGCGCCAAACGATGTAATGAAATGAAATCTTAACTTTAGAAAGGATACACACCTGTCTGTGAACAAACTTTATTAGGTATATACTATGTTTTCGTTCGACCGTGCCTTGTGTTATTTTCGAATTTGTATTAATATAATATATTATACAATGTTAAATCACGACAACGATCGACGATAATAATTATATACTATACGATTTATTAATGCGAGTTTGGAACCCGAAATCGGTGGTGGCAAAGAGGATTAAGGCTGTAATTCTGATGATCGTCAAATGGACTTTGTTCGAGAGTATATATATTGTTATACAGAACCAACATATAAACTTTTTAAATTTAAAGTTGAAAATTGAGCTTAAAAAGATAAACTAAAACACGACAATAATACTTAGTATAAATTTGTATTCTAAATAAGTACGGGAATGTATGATGTATACAATAGACAGTATGTTTATAAATATATAATACTTGAATAATATGTACTTAAGGCGTTTGATATGTTCACAGTGACGGATCTAGAACAAAGATTAAATCAAATTATTAAATTAAATATTTCTTTAAAAAATTGGAATTTTGTATGTGTACTCTCTTTTAAATTAGCCCTTATATGGAGGTTTAAAAAATTCAGCTCATTAAATTCATTTTTAAAATAATAAATCATCGCTTTAAATAAATAAATTACGTTTCGTGTTTAAATATTAGACGTTAGCTTGTATAAAAATGTCAATTCATGATTGCAGATGAACCGAAAAATGTTGTACGTCATTAACAATACGATTTGGACCATGTTTGTAAAATACTATTTAAAAAAGTAAATTTATCTGTTTAATGAAAACTAATTAATAAACTAGCTACAGCCTATGAGCATACATTTTAAATATTTTAAGGAATTAAGTGTATAATGTATATACAAGCGTAATTTATTTTGTCAACCATCTTACCGTAATTATTAAAAGATGATAAATAATATAATTTTTTTTTTGAATTCCTAAATATTAAAAATTATGTACGAATAAGAAAATTTAAATATATCTATTTTCTTATACAGAATAATAAATAAAAATGAGAGTAGAAAAATGTAAATACTATTATACATATATTTTCTATTATTTCCAACGTCATTTAATTTTATCTTATGTAGTAAAATTATACTTATATGTATGTGTTTTTTTAAACATATATTTTTCAATAATTAATGTTATGTGATATTTGTTTATCATAATATTTGATTAAACTCGATGTTCATATTAGTCTGTTCAAGAAATTTTAATAACGTCGAGAAGTTATTCACTGATTAAACTAAAGATTTCTTAGAAAATCTTCATATCTTTTAGTTTTTGTGTCTAATAACTAAAAGGCCGTCGAATTTTAAAATAAAACTTTTAATTTTCAAGTAGAAGCCTTCATTAGTAGTCACAGTTAATATTCTTTAGAATATTTTTCAATTTGCATTAATTACGAAGATCTAACAAATAAATTCGTTGCCAAACAAAAGTATTTTAATGTTGTATACGGTATGATAGCTATATTAATATAAAACTTAAAATAAGTACGGTGAAAATATTTTTAAATTTAACAATAATTATTAAGCAAACGTATATAAGATAATCAGGATTATTTATTAAATATGTTTACTCCTTTTTTTCCTTAATAATGTTATTTCCAAAATTCTATTGTTGTAGTTTTTAAATATACTCGAGAGAGTTTTTTCAAATTTATGAGATTTTTTTGTACTATTTATAGAATGTCCTTTGGAGGTACAAATTTCTATTTTTCAAATGAGAAATTCTCTACTTTTTACTATAAAAGAGTTATGCAAATTCACACGGGAGGGGGCAGAGAAGCGTACGTTATTTATTGCATATTTATAATTTATTTATTTCAAACAATATATTATGTCAAAATTTAATAACATATTTCTGTGAATACCGTAAAATAGTAAAAACCATAGTATAAATAGAAAATATCTTAAAATAAATCAAAAATTTCATTGCATATAGTAAAATTCATAATACATTTATTATGTACGTAAAATTTTAAGTTCCCATGAAAAATGTTTTTAAATTACAACAAAATAATTTTATTGTAACCGTTATTTATCACTTGAATAAGTAATTTTTGAACTTCAAATGCATATAAAAAAAATATTGTATACATATTACATGTATTCTAAAAAATTT